AAAAAAACACTCTGGTTTGCTTCTCCTTTTTAAGTGCAAATAAAATAAAATAATGCACTACTGCTTCCTCATGAATTTGTATCTTTGTATTCTCAGTTCCTGTTTTCACATTTTAGAAGAGGTCTTCCTTGTGTCCCAGGAATTTTCTTGGGATGGAAACAGCTGTTTCCTTCCTGGTCGGTACATGGGTTTGGAGAACCTCAAGCCAAAAAATCCTAGACACACCAAAGTCATGTGAAGCTTTCCGATGGTGCTAGTGTTACCCGGACTCTCATTTCCTCCAGACCAAGTGTCTTTGTGGTTGAGAAATTGCAGTCTTTCTCTAAGATCCGTGCTGTCCAGCCCAGTTCCACATGGGAAGTGGTTTTACCCACAGCACACAGAGCAGGCCAGTGTGGTTTCCCAGGGAAGACTGGGATCCTGAGCAAAGGTTCCTGGACACAAGCCCCAGGCCAAAGGGGTTTTGCTCAGCAGAGCTGCATCTTTTGTGGGCATCCGGGCAGGGGATGAAAAGTCTGGGCACCCTGCAGCCCCTTGATTCACCAGTATGAATCCCATCAGACCACCTTGCAATTATACAGCAAAGCTATTCATAAGCTCCATGAGTAAACAGTCCCTGGCACTGCACATGGTGGCACAAAGTTCCTACAGATGATAGAGAGCTAATTAACTTAGTAATTGCATGTGCTGTGACAGCCCTGGAACTTCCGCGCTGTTTTGGATGGCTGGGATGGGTCTTACTCATGTTCTCACCTCCTGTTTGAGGGGAGAAATTCTTTCACTGCCTTCAATGGGGCAGGCTCAGAGCATCTCATCTCTGTGGCCATTGCAGCAGCTCTGCAGCCATTCCCTATAACCAGAACTAAGGAGAGAAGAAGTGTCCCAGGCAAAAAAAACCAACAAAACAAAACAAAACAAAACCCACCAAAAACCAAAAAACTCCTCAAAAGAAACAAACAAACTGAAAAAAAAAACCCAAACGAAAAAAAAAAAAAAAAAAAAAAAAAAAAAAAAAAAAACAACTGTCCAAGACACCAACTAAACAAAATACTCCCCTATCTCAGACTCAGAAAACAAACTTTGGGAACCACAAACCTGAATTCATGTCTGATAAACTGAGCAACTCCTTTTGGTGGGAGAAAAGCAAATAAAATACTTCAGAATTGATGCCAATAGGCTCCTGAGTTTGGATAGAAAATTCAATGTCACAATTTGGGTTTATTTCTATGAATTCATACGATGTGAGCAGAATACCACTGAGCACGGCTCATTTGGCAACAGAAATTAATACATTCTCATTAATCTGCATGGAAGTACTCTGGTTTTCCCCCTCTGTGATTCTGACCCTGGGCCTGAAGGGAGAAGACCCGTTTGTCCACCCGGACAGGTTCATACTTTGCTTCACTGTGCCTAGGAGCAAAACCCAATACATTGATTTACATCATTGTGACGTTAGTGATGAAATGACAATGACAAAGAGACAAAAAAATCCTCCAAAAGTTCAAATTGTTCTGCAGCATTATCTCTTGGTGCTCCACAGCACCTGAAGAGTAGAGTGTCAGCTGCCTCCAAGGGAAGCTGGGAAATGTGTGCCTCTGTGGGGTCCACTGCTGCCCTCAAACCCTGCTTCTTCCCACCTCCCAGATGAGCACTGCTCATACCCACCCCAGCCTGGATGGGATTTTTAAGGACACACATCTCCAGGATATAGGATTGTCCAGAGAGAGTTGGTACCAAACTCAGGGATGGTGTGCAGGCTGCTGGAGTGGTGTCAGTGTGTCCAGTGGGAGCCAGGCAGGGACAGTGCCTCTGTGCTGGGGCACTGCTGGGACCACAACCCAGTCCTGGGGTCAGTTCTGGGCCCCTCATGACAGGAAGGACACAGAGGGGATGGGGCATGTCTGGGGAGGGGAGCAGAACTGGGGAAGGGTCTGGAGCACCAGGAGCAGCTGAGGGGGCTCAGGATGGAGGAGAGAACATGGCCTCAAGTTGCAGCAAGGGAGTTTCAGATTGGACATTGGAAAAATTCCCTCATGGAAAGAGTGGTCGGGCACTGGCACAGGCTGCCCAGGGAAGTGGCAGAGTCATTTCCCTTGGAGAGATTTAAAAACCATGTAGATGTGGCACCTGGGAGCATGGCTTAGTGGTGGCTTGGCAGTGCTGGATTTAATGGTTGGACTCCATGACTTTAGAGCAATTTTCCAACCTGGATGAGTCCCTGATTCTATGGTACCAGTGCAGAGGGGCTAGCAAGCACCAAAGGTGCTCACCTGGGTTCAGGTGGGTGCGTGGCACAAAGGTGGGGTGCACGTATGGTACAAGGGTGTTTGTGCCTGGATACTGGCAGTGCCCCTGTCTGGTAGTGCTGGGGACATGGGGCTGCAGGGACAGTAGTGCCTGTGGCACGTGACACAGCTCTGTGCAGGTACAGTGTCCCAGCCCTCCAGGACTCTCACCTGCTTTGCTCATTAAATACTGGAGAAAAGAGATCTTACAAAGCTTCCATGGCAGGAGACAGCAGGGCTGAGCTCAGGTGCTTTGGGGATTCTCCTCCCTAGCCTGTGCCACGGTGCACATGCCACAGCGAGTGCCAGATCCCTGTGGAGAAAACCCCTTCACCAACCCTCTGCACCAGTGCAAGGAGACCTACAGGCTCTGAATCCTGGTGCTGCCAGGGCTTAGTGCCCTGCTGCCCCTCACCCAACACCTCTTCACATTACCTTAAAGAGCCACCACAGCCCCAGCACTGAGATGGCAGCCTTAAAAACTGCCACAGACAGAGCCTGCTGCCTTCTGTTCCCAGCCCTTGACTGTGGGGAAAGGCAGAAGAGTGTCTGAAGGCTCAACAACCTATTCAGAAAGAAAACATTGGTATGTACCCATGAAACCATTGAGAGAGAAGGAAAACATGAAAAGAGATAACCACCTTGCAAGTGCCATTCTTCAAGAATGCTGTGCAGTAGGAGCCACAGAGAGGATGAAGGGTCTGGAGCACCTCCTTATGAGGAGAGACTGAGGGGGCTGTGCCTGGTCAGTCTGGAGAAGAGAAGACTGAGAGGGGATCCCATCAGCCCATACAAATATCTCCAAGGCAGGTGCCAAGAAGATGGTGCCAGAGTCTTTTTAGTGGAGCTCAGCAACAGGAGAAGGAATAATGACCATAAACAAAAAGACATGAAGTTCCATCTCAACATTAGGAAGAAGTTCTTTCCAAGGATGGTGGCAGAGCACTGGAACAGATGCCCAGGGAGGGTGTGGAGTTTCCCCTCTCTCAAGACATTCAAAACCCATCTGGACACATTCCTATGTCACCTGCTCCAAGTGACCCTGCCTGGGCAAGGGTTTGGACTGCATGATCTCCAGAGGTCACTCCCAACCTCAAATCTTTTGTCATTCTGTGAGAAGTGTGTTGCATCAGGACATCACACATCCCCGTGTCCATGGCTGTGGGGCTTCCCAATAAAAAGCTGTGCAACTCCTACTCTTCCCACTTTGCATTCAGCTCTGCTCCTACCCAGGCCCTGGCTCCTTCTCTCTTCCTCTCCCAGGCGAGGAGAGGAGGTCCCACAGTGTTCCCTGCAGCCAAGTGATCCAAGCTGCTGTGTGGCCAGAGCATCTCCTGCAGAGAAGCTTTGCACAGCCAGCGGGACCCTTCCACAGACAGAGCTCTGCACCGGGGCTGGGCAGCAGCTCCAGCTGCAGACATTGTCCCAGGCCCACCTCAGAGAGCAGCACGGGGCTTTGGGTCATGGCTCCGTCTCTCTTGATGGAACTGGGCTTCTACGAAGGGAGAACAAATTCTTAAGGCAAGGGGAGGACTTTTTCCCTTCTGGGGTCAAATAAAAGGGCATCAGGAGTTGCACGGCTCCATGCTGAGGAGCATCAGGGACACACATGTAGCTTTCTGTACATAGCCTTGATCTAACACTGAATTCACTCTGTGACTTCCAAAAAGGCACTTAGTTTTCTACCAGTTGTGCCTTCCCTCTGCCTTGCCTTAGGCTCTGAGCATCAATAGGTGACACATGCAAAGGGAAGGGCCACCCTGCAGCTCCTGCTTCTTTGGGATGTTAATGCCTGTGGATGCCAAACAATGGCAAACGCCATGGGAACCTCTGCACTCACCAACCCACTTTTTCCTTGACCTGGGAGAGTGGGGTTTGTTTTAACTTGAGGCAGAAGACAAGCAAAGGAGAGAGGAGATGGGAGAAGCGCCTTTTAAAAAGTTCCTTTGTCGCTCGCCTCCACATCCCATGGTGGTGCCTGCACTGACGTCAATGTGGTGCTGGTTGATTTGCACCAGCTGAGGGGCTGGCGCAGGATCCTCCCCTCCACAGTGGCTCTGACGTGGGGCAGGAAGGGTTCATGCTGGGATATATTCCTGCCCGTGCCACACTGGTGGCCACAAGGCGAGGAATGAGGAACCTCTGCAGAGTGACAGACGACTCTTATGGCTGCCCATGGAGCCCCTCCTGCACCCTGGCACCCAGTGACAGGGGCTGCTGCCCAGCCCTGACCCCTCCATGCCAAGGGAAGGACAGTGAGGTGGCTGCTGCAGGGACATCAGCATCAGGAGCCTCGCCTTGCCAAGGGGTGCCAGACTGGCACCTTCTTCACAGTGTTTGTGCCAGCTGTGACACAGCTGTGAGCTCTCGCTGCCATCCCTGCTCATCTGCAGGTGTTCTTCCCTCAGTGGAGGCTGCAGGACTTGACCTAGGCATCAGCCCTACAGCTCTGGGGTTTCACCAGCCCATGGAGCTGATGCCTTGGCACGCCCAAGTTTATCTTGCTGCCTTACAGTGCAACAAATCCCAGAAGAGCATTTCTGACTAGTACTTTGCTCCCACGCATGTGATTTGTGTTAATGTAACACCAAACAGCATGGAAAGCATCCCACCAAACACTCCTGGGAAAGAGGAGCCCAGCCCTTGGAATCAGAGCTGGTCTGGGAGATGGATGATGGAATGCTATGCACCCAGCCACAAGAAGGACAAGTGATATGCAGTCAGCAGCAGTCGTCTTTACTATGGACCACAGGAGATCAGAAAAGTAACCATGTTAACAGGAGACCTAGTGGCTAACAAAATGTCATGCTGTAGGACGTACTAGAGAAAGAGAAGCACAATCACCAGAACAAAACAGCACCCAGAGGGACAGGGAAGCCCAGGGGGTTGCAGGAGATGCCCTATAGCAAATCTCTAGTGTGGTATTGACACATCTATGAGTGCAGGGGGCTGGCTGCATGGGTTCCTTTAGTCTTGGACACAAGTCAAAGCGTCTTCACTTTTACCCAATTCCAGTGGCTCTAGCACAATGATTATTGACTTTTTTTCAGAATAAAAATACTAATATAATTTTTTTCCAAGAACTTTGTGCAAGAATAATTTCTCCAGGTGCAGTGAAAGGAGGGCAGATAGGAAAACACCCTTCCCAGGGTTGTCCTTATGGCTCCTGCCCTCTCCTCACTGACACCACAGCCCTCCCTAGCAATCTTCAGTGGTTTTGCCTTCAGTGAATCCCAAACAAGGTTTTCCAGAAAAAAATGAGAAAAAAAAAGTATTGCTGCTTCTTCTTGTAATATTTTTCCCTCTCTCTCTCTCTCTCTCTCTCTCTCTCTCTCTCTCTCCCCCATTTCTCCTTAAAAAATGTTTACTTTCAAAAATTCCATTCCTGCAGAGAGTCCTGAGCTCTGAGGTCTCTGGACTCCACCCTCCTCTTCTCCAGTCAGAAAAACTGAGTCTCGATGTCTCTTTGGTTAAAAAAAAAAATTAAAAAATAGCACAAACAAATAACACACAACCCAGTATGATCCCATTCCACCCTGTGGATGCCTGATGAGAGGGTGTCTGTGGAAGAAGGAAGCATCAGAGACGAGCTGTCTGCTCACTGGAAGCCGAGGTCTCCGCTCCATCCCGCCGGCTCTCCTCCTCTCATACGGTGGTCGCTGGCCCATACTGGAGCACCAGAGGGGATGTCTCCTTGATGCGGACGTAGAACCGCCCCTCGGGCTGGCTGGTGTGGAGGGACAGAGGCAAGAAGTCATCGGGGAGCCACCGCTCGCTCTCGTTGGCAGCGAACACCAGTCCGAAGTGCTCCAGCTGCTCCTCGCCATAGCAGACAGCAGCCAAGCTGCCCAGCACGTCCCGCGAGATGTCATTCATCTCCAGCACCACCAGCTTCACCACCTCCCTGGCAGGCGTCTGGCTGGTGATGTGCAGCTGTGGAGAGAGAGATGGGAGAGATGGAGAGATGGGAGAGATGGATGGCAGGCGGGAGGAATGAGGAGGAGCAGGGCCTGGAGGCAGCAAACGGCGTGGAGGAATGGTGAGGGTGCAGGAACAGCTGCCCAGTGGTGCCCGTGAGCAGGTGCAGCAGCCTGGCACAGAGCCATGGGCACACTATGCCCAGGGAATGCCCAAGGGGTGCCCTAGCATGCCAGGGCCCAAACTTATGCACTGCTCTCCTGCCTCCACTCCTGTCTCCAAGCCCTTGCCACTCAGCCCTTGCACGTGTCACCTACAGCTCTGCTGAGGCTGCCCCACTATCTCATCACCTGCAGCTGGAGAGGGACAGTCTCTGCCCTGCTCCTGGTACCATGGAGGGATCTGTGTGAAGTCCCTCTTGTGAGCAGGGTCCAGACTCTCAAACCAGCTGGACCACAACAGCTCTGCCAAACTACAACTGAAACCTCTTTGGAACAGGGCGATAAATTTCATCCGTGCACAAGCTTGGGGTTCTCCCACCAACAGCTACCCTTGCCCTCTGCTTCCCTGGGGACAGCCCGGTGAATCCCCAATCCTGTCAAAAAAATGAGCTCATCAGGACCCCGGCTGCTAACGCCAGGAGCCACTGCTTGGCTTCAAAGGCCCAAAGGCAGGACATCCATCCTCGCCCAGGGAAGGTAACATTTCCTTTGGCACATCTGTGAGGGTTTGTGGAGCGCCAGGAGTGCTGCCTTGGCAGGGTGGTCCCAGCCCTGGGCCCATGTGAACACTGCCAGCCCTGAACAGCTGTGGCAGGGCTCAGCTGATTTACACCAGCCAAGGAGCCATGCCTTTGAACTCGCCTTTCTTTGAGAACATCGTAAAATGGACAAGCAGGTGTGTCCAAAGCTTTGCAACTTCAAAAGCCACATGGGCAGCCCGCCAAGAACCTGAGGGCTCCGCTTCAGTTCCACAGAAATCTATGGGCATTCCTCAAATAGAAAATAATCTGGTGAGGCACAGTTGTCTCTGCTAGGATGTCCTGGCTGGGTGCAGAGACACTGGCTATCAAACCTCCCCAGCAATAAACCAATCAGCCTGTTGGCACTGTTCTTCCTCTGCCATTACTTGGGGGTTGCTTTCAACCCATACCAGTCCATGATTTAATGATTTTCTGCTCCATCATCCTCAGTCCTGGGCACCAGGAATGTCTTGGAAAGGTAATTTCAACAGGGGAAGGATCTCCATGGCTGAGACCAAAGGAGGCCACAAAGCCAGAGGGGGACTTGCCCAAGATGCGCGTCCTGGGGGATGCTCCTCTATGGGGGAGCCCACCTGGAGCAGGTGTGAGTGATCAGAGCTGGTGGGGTCAGCTCTTGGCAGCAAAGCCCCCATGGAGAGAAGTCAGGTCACACAGCTGCTCCAGCATAGTCTGAAGGAGCATGGAAGGAGCTCTGCCTGTTGTCCCAACTGGAATTGGAGTGGGTTCTGCCACTGGAGTTGCCACAGGCTGGAGACAAAAGGCTCCTGCTCTCACCTCCCTAATGGGGAAGGCTGGAGCAGAGACCACACACCTGGGAAGAGGAGGCTGTAGGAGGAGCATGCGCAGGGCAGGGGTGACAGCTGAATTTTGGCCTGGAAGGATGATATGTTTGAACACCAGGACATGGCAAGGGTGTGGCAAGGACACCATCTTAAACAATGGATTCAGTTATTACATCAGCAGCTCAGATATATCAAGGAAGATTTGGATTTCTGCTAATACACTCATCTACTATTTTGGTTTTTTCCCACTATTAGAACAGTCAGGTTTTTCTTCTCTCTTTATTTTAAACAAAAACAAAACCAAAAACAAACCAAAAAACCAAAACAAAAACCACACAAAACAACAAAACCAAAAAACAAACAAACAAGAAAACCAAAAACAAAACAAAACAAAAAAAAAAAACAACAACAAAAAAAAAAAACCAAACAAAAACCCCAACCAAACAAAAAAAAAACCAACAAAAAAGTGTCCTTTCCTCTGCCTGCCCACTCTGGGTGACACCAACCTACTGTCACCTGCTGAACCACAGACCAAGAGCTGAACTTCAGCCCCACTGCCGTGTCCCCAGAATTCACTATGTGTGGCCCTGGCTCACTCCTTCTGCAGCAGTAGCCATTGTTCCTGCAGAGACACCCTGTCCTACCAGCAGCCTCATCTACAGCATGGACAGAGGGAGTCAGGACAGGAGTGCTGCGGGTCTCCAGGGGAACCTCACCCCTGGGACGGCGGAGGATGGGGAGGGCAGTGCCAGGCGTGGAACACATGAGCCCTGCTGTCTCTGTCCCCATCCCGCCAGCCCTGTCCCTCTGGGCACAGCAGAGCCGCTGCGCCACCCATGACAGGCTCTGGTACCTTGACACTGGTCTCTTTGGAGAGTCCCGTTTCGTACTGAGGGCAGACCCTCAAGGTGACAGAGCCCGGCTTCTTCCCTTGCTCGGCCAAGCCCCCAGGCTGCTCTGGCTGCTGCTCTGTCAAGTCCTGAGTCCACTCATCCGAGCGCGTCCGGCAGACGGGCTCAGAGCCCTGTCCCCCCCGGCAGCCCTCGGGGCTGGGTGTCAAGCCAGTCCCCAGCCTGAGCTGGCTGCAGAGGCCCGTGGTCCTGCTCTCGACCGGGGAGCTGTCCACGGAGCCAGGGCAGGACTTTCTCGGACCGGGGCAGTGGGGCTTGGGGAAGTCAAGGCTGCTGGTCCGAACGCAGTACGCCTGTCGCTTCTCTGTGATGCGCAGCAGCTCGATCTGCCGGCTGGGCAGGACAAAGTCACTGTCATAGAGCTTGGGCGGTGGCCGGGGCTCCTCAGGTGGTGGCGGCACTGGGGCTGGGGTCTTGAGCTCGTGGCTCTGCAGGACGTCCGGGGCACTGTCCCGCAGGGTGCGGGCCACCCTCCGGCTGCAGCACTCAGGCCCCGAGGTGGAGTACACCAGGTCGAGCTCCTTCGGGCTCTGCGCCCGGCTGGAGTCGTAGTCGCTGTCAGTGGCCAGGAACACCTCTGAGGAGCCTTCCTCATCCGACAGGCCGTGGGAGTCTGCGAGGCGGGAGAGAAGCAACGAGTGGCTCAGCCTGAGTGTGGATAACCCCCGCGGAGATGGAATCCAGGGAAGCCTCTGAGTTTTGTCCCCTTGTCACACAGCAGAGTGGCACTCGCCATGGAACAGGCAGGGCAGGTCCCGCCCCGGCTGAGGCCGACTGCCCTGCATGCACCCGGCTCCAGCCCCCCGACCCACCGAGCACGGCAGCCATGAGCCCACAGGCAGGAGCCCGGCACGGCCGCGTCCTCACCGGAGTTGAGCTTGCGGCTGGTCTCTGGTGAGAGCGCTGGGGATGGAAGGTAGTCAATGTGGGATGAGGAGGATCGGGTTTTCTCCTTCACTGTCCCCCCGGCCTCGCTGAGGAAGCCACTGAGAGAGATCCCACAGGAGGGCTGCTTGTAGCGGGCATGCTGCAGGACATCCATGATCCAGCGCATCTCTCGCCAGATCTCCTCCATTTGCTGCCAACAGAGGAAATGGAGGAGCCCTTTCACACAGCAAACGACAGCAACAAGAAAATCCCATGGCAAAACATGGAGTCTGTACACAAACATCTCTCCAGAGCTCTGGGGGAATCCCCGGGCTGGGAAATGCAAAGGAAGTGCTCTCAGGCAGAAGGAGGACACAGCTGCTGGTTCAGCAGGGGTGCTGGGGACAGGGGTAGTGTGGGATGCTCTCTTGCAAGTCCATCCTAAAATGCACATGCAGGCCTATTTCTAGCAAGGAGGGCATGTGCTCTTTGGGTCTCTCCTTGGGATTTTTAACGTGATCATTGCAGTAAGAAGTTGCTCAATAAAGCAACTGCAGCCTGGAGAAGAGGAGGCTCTAGGGACACCTCAGAGCCTGAAGGAGCTCCAGGAAGAGCTGGAGAGGGACTTCAGACAAGGGATGGAGGGATGGGACAAGGGCCTGGATGAACAGGACAAGGGCCTGGAGTAACAGGACAAGGGTGAATGGCTTCCCACTGCCAGGGTTAGATGGGAAACTGGAAAGGAATTCTTGGCTGTGAGAGTGCTGAGGCCCTAGCACAGTGTGCCCAGAGAAGCTGTGCCTGCTCCTGGATCCCTGGCAGTGCCCAAGGCCAGGTTGGACACGGCTTGGAGCAACCTGGGACAGTGGAAGGTGGAACTGGATGAGATTTAATGTCTGTTCCAACCCAAACCATTCTATGAATCTATGAAAGACCAGCCTACTGCTGCCCATCAGCCAGATCAGAGAAATCCCCTGGGGCCACCAAGACCAGCGAACAGCCTGAATGCAGATGCTGCTGCCTGAGTCCTGGCAGGTTAGGGGCACTGTGGAGCCTGGCTCCCACCCCATACCTGGATGTAGTCCTGAACCTGCTGGTGCCTCTGCTTGGCAGTGGAGAGCTCGGCATCGGAGAAAGCCTCCCTGAGGCTCTGCTGGGAGAGGAGCGACTCCAGTTCCAGCAGGGCAGACACTTGGCAGTACTGTGTGATGAACTCCCGGTTGTATGTGAAGAAGTGGACTGGGAGAGGAAACAAGAGGGGAGGGGATGAAAAACATTAGGTCCCATGCCCTACATCCTCCTCCATATCACCCAAGATGAGGAGGCAACACTGTCCATTAGTACACCTGGACAGCCCTCAGTACATCCCTCCATCCCTGCTCCCCAGGGACTGAGGGAAGTCTAGGCACACCACTGCCCAGCCCAGCTCTCAGGAGGCCTCAGAGGACAGCAGGACCAGCAGAGTTGAGTTTTGGCATCCCTTCTCCTCACCCAGCTCGAAGATCTGCAGCGGCAGTGTGAGGAAGCCAGAGCGAGGGGTATAGGGGTTGTTCTGGCCTGGAGCAGTGCAGACATCATCTGATGGAGGCAGCAGCAGCAGGAAGGAGACCTGATCCCCAAAGTCCAGCACCTCTTGGCTGTACAGACGGAAGTCTTTGGCCTGCAAGAAGACAGTGCAGGTAACAGCTGCACACATCACCTGGTGGGGCCTCTGTCCAGTCCTCCTGCACAGATTAGTCCTCAGGGATCACCTGTAGCCAGGGGACACTGCAGCTTCAGCACACAACCAGAGCCCCCTTGCTTCTGGCATAATCTGCTTAATCTCATCACTTCTTCTCTAATTTTTCCTAAAATTTTTGAAACTTCTGGTCAAAGTCACCATGACAGGGTGTCAAAAACGTACCACCAGTAATGGCTCAGTGATGAGCAGGGAGGTGCCCTCCCAGCTACCCAGGCAGAAGCACATACCTGTCATTGGGGCTGCTGGGTTGTTTCCCAGCAGATACTTGGCATGGTGGAAGAAGGTTTCTCCCCATGCAGTCTGGCCCCAGGGGCTGAAGCTCCAGCCCAGCACTGGCCAGGGACCAACCTGCTTTGGAGGGGCAGAGTTGGGCTGGTCTCGTGCTGCCCAGGACCAAACCACCGGCAGGAGTAAACCCAGATTTGCTGTCGTTGCTTTGGAGTACAGCGTGGGAAGGACAAACAGCTCCTGTGGACACTGTCCCTGGGCAGGGCAGACTCGCCACTCACCTTCTGTCTGCACAGCACTAAAATCTGGGTGCTCCAGCCCCACCAGGAGGGCCAGCCATGCAGTTCCCCACCCACTGCAACCACCAGCACTGTGCTCACAGCCCCATCCCCTCCCTCTGCCCAGACCTTGACTCCAGCCTCTACCTCTTGAAATGGGATGTTCACCAGGGTCATCAGCTCCTTGATGGCCACTTGGAGCTCCTGAAACAAGGGGTTCTGGGACCTGTCAGTCTCTGGCTCTGTGGGAGCAGCCTCCTCCACGCTGGCCATCTTTTGCAGCCACTCCCACTCCTCCCTGCAGAAGGCCAGAGACAGACAGGTGAAGGAAGGAGCAGTTTGTGTGGACGTGGACACAATTTCTCTGAGAGCTGTTTTTGCTTGGCTGTTCCTGTCCCAGACACTGCAGCATCCCCAGAGGTATGGGAGAGGTGGAGGTAGACAGGGAACTTGGTTTGCTCTAGGCTGAATCAGACTCACAGAATCTACTGAGCTGGATGGGACCCACACGGATTGTCAAGTTCAGCCCTGACCCCTCACAGGACACCCTAACAACCCTACCCTGTGCCTGAGAGCACTGCATGGCAAGGCTAAGAGGGAGTATTACACTGCTGCTGAAGCAGGAGGTGATAGGTGCTGTTAGCCCGGATGGGACAGAGCAGCCTGACTGCCCTGGCTGAGCAGCCTTGCAAATCCCACCTGGAGATGTTGGGGTTGGAGCGAATCTTGACATGGCACAGGATGTTGGGGAGCTGCTCTGGCACCAGCACTCGGATCTGATCCACGGCACTGCACAGCTTCAAGTAGCCCAGGTAGAGGCCCTGGGAGAGGGCATGGCTGCTCCGCTGGTGATAAGCCAGCTTGTCCTGGGAACAAAGGCACTGCTGGATTGAGCAAGTCCTCACAGCAAGGCTGATGCTGTAGCACAGCCAGTCCAGCTGGAGAAGGGGAGCAGCACAGGAAGACAACCCGGTGCTGCCAGGTTTCATCTGGCACCAACTTGATGCCTCCTCTTGAAACAACAGGAGTTTTGGAGGCTGGCTGGGCTTTGCTTCCCCTCTGCTGTGAGCTTCCCAGGCCGAGGGGGAGCAGGGAGCACTGGTGTTTCCCAGGGGAGCCCAGTGCTGTCCTCGCCCCAGCACGCACCTGGAGGGAGATGAGCAGCGTGTCCAGAGCAGTGGGCTCCTCGGGGGAGGACACGGACTTCCGGCTGGTCTGCAGCTTGCAGATGGGGACCCAGCGGACGCTCTCGAAGGTCTGGTTGGTCTTCACCTCCTTCAGGGTGACGATGAGGATGTTGCCCTGTTTGTCTTTGATGGGCTCAAAGAAGACCTGCCCCAGGTCCTGGATGCCCAGCAGCCCCTGGGCAACAGGGTAGGAAGGCAGGAGAAAGCAGAGGGTCAGGGGATATCCCGGAGGCATGGTGGGTCTGGGCAGCTGGGATGTGCCTGCAGCTGCCTGCTGGAAACCAGTCTGCCCAGAAAAACACCCTGATGGTCCCCAGCCCCTCTGCAGGAGACTGCCATGACACCTGACACCTCACTGTCCCACGGCTGGAGTCCTGCCAGGGAGGATGAGGCAGGGACACACAGTCATGACAGTCATGGCCAGCAGATCCTGGGTTTATCCCGACTGTGGTACATCTGCATGCTGCTCCCAAGGGAGCTCAGCCCCTAGCATCCCACTTAAAGTGTTTGTTCCCTGCCCAGGCTGACCCTCACCTGCATCTGTGAGATAGCCAGCAGCATTTTGAAGCGTGTCTGCAGGATGCAGGAGCAGGAGGACTGGGACACAGTGACACACTGCCGCAGCCACAGGATCTCGTCCCACATACATGACACCTGCACACACCAAGGAGTGTCACCGCTGCTGCAGCTGGGTCACACCAGGCTTTTGGGGAAATTGTTTGCCTCTCTGAGTTGGGTTAGGAATGTGCATGGGCATGCAGCACCTCTCAGCAGGGTTGCAAATAAATCCCCGTGCCACAGGCACTGAGATGCCTCCAGAGTCTGTAGCCAAGGGCAGCCCTGAGCCATGTCCACTCAGACATCCATCTTCATCTAGGACTGAAACCCTGAGTTTGAATACAAGTTGGCCAAGGTCAGGAGGGAGAAGAAAGCACTCTCCATCAGTAGATAAGGATCATCCAGCAAATTATTTTGGCCCTGAGATGCCCACATGCACTTTCCTTAAGTCTGCTGACATCAGAGGAGCTGCCAGCAGCTCCCTGTGCATCCTACAGCAGAGGCAGAGGTGCCATGGCAGGATGCTGAGGGGAAGCAATTCAACAGCCACTGACATCCCTGTAGAGATGCAGTGCCCACCCACCCCAGCACACAGCCTGCCCAGTGTGGCTCTGGTCTGTCACTCATCTTTGGGCTTCTAGAGGTTGGGATGAAATGCCATTCCCTGGAAGTTACCTGGTCCATGCTGAACCCCAGCAAGAAGCAAGTCCACGGGCTGCTGGCACTGCCAAGCCCCAGTGTCTGGACTGGAGAGGCAGAAGTATTGCCTGATGCCTGCCTGGGTCACCTTGGTACTCCTGGCCCTCTGCCTAAACACAGGGTCCCTCAGCCACCCACCTTGGTGAGCCACAGGAAATCCTGCATGAGCAGGCAGGAGTAGGTGTCATCAATCTCCACCACGGGGATCTGATCTTCGTGGGTTACCAGGATGTTGTCGTCCTTGTAGAAGATGGCTGTCAGGTAGAGGCCCCTGCATGGGAGGGAAGACAGACTTCAGTGCCACCCCCAGCTGCCAGCTCCATCTCCCAAAGGGTCTCTTTCCTGAGAGAAGAGGAGATGCTCTGCCCCAGGTCCCCACTTCTCTCCAACAGCCTGTGGCAGAAGAGGCTTGTGGCTGGTACGGGAGCAGGAGCAGGAACCCAGCGTGTCCCAATAGATACCACGGCCCATGACCCTGCAGCACATGGGACAGAGATGGGCCAGACTGTGCAGGGGACACTCTGGGTCTGGACAACTTGGAGTGCCAGGTGAGCCCCAGAGGTGATGCAGGGATCTGGGCACCAGCACATCTTGGCCAGTCCAAATGGAGACACCAAGAGAACCTCTGATCTCTGGGCCATGGGACTCCTCTCCACTGACACCACAGCTCACTCCCAGTGCAGACCCTGCTCTGGGCACCCCCAGCCCCCAGTGTGCAGGCACAGCTCTCAGGATGGGCAGCTCTGCAGCCCTGCTGGGACAGGGGCTCTCCCCAACCCCATGCACCAGCTCTCACCGCTTCAGTGTCTTGAGAAACTTGCTGCCAGGGTGGAAGAGGTGTTTGAGGCTCTTGGAGACTGAATGCTTTCTGCTCTGGGGCTGGTTCTTGCAGGGCTCTGTGGAGCAGAGAGCAAAGGATGCTGCAGCAGGAGATGAAGAGCTGATACCAACTCATTGGGAAGGCTGAGATCCCCACTGCCTGAGCACTGGCAGTGGGGTCTCCACTGCCTGAGGTGTCTCCCTGCTCTCCTCATCCATGGCACAGATCTATTCCTGTACCACCCAGCTCTGTGGATCACACCACAACTGTGGGGACTCAGCTGCCCCTGCCTCAGCCTCCCTGGAGCACTGTGCTGTGGGCTCACCGTGGCAAATGCAGTGCTGGTGGACGGTCTTCACCTGGCCCAGGAGATGGTCCAGAGCTTCAGCCTGTCCCCTCCGCCGTGGCGCCCTGCCGTCGTACTCCCGCCAGTCTGTGGGGACAAACCAGCATCACCCTGGCACCCCTTTGCCTGGGCCAAAAGGGGTTCCCATCCCCTCCTCCCACATCATCTGGGTGTCCCCCCCCATGCCACAGCATGGCAGCAGGTGTGGGTGCTGGGCACTTCTGGGTGTGCTGGGAGATCCCCAGCTTTGTGCCACTCTTCCCAGGAACCCCCAGCTCTGCACAGCACCCCGTGGCCACTGGCCTCCTCACAGCATGGCAGGGACACACCAGGGGGAAGGAACAAGGTCTGTCTGTTTCTGCTACACTTCACTGGCCTTAAAAAATAAAATTCTTTCCAGTGTCTTCCTCCAGGTCTTCCCCAGTTACTCCAGATGAGTGCTGGAAGCTGGGCTTACCTCGACAAACACATAAATAAACTCCCATCAGCTCCACCCGCTATGGGCCAGCAGCAGGACCATGAGCAGGGCTGGGGACCTGCTGGCTCTTCTCCCTCAACTTTATATTAATTGCTTTAAACACCCCATGTCCTGCCCACTGCTGTTTTCCATGGAAAGTTCAGCTCTGTTAACTTTGGCTAGAACTTGCCACTATTTTTAGTAGCTTTAAAAACACCCAGGGAGGTGCTTGACTATATTCTGCTGGGCCAGGGAGGGATCTCTACTGAAGGGAGAAATATTACTGGTAATAAAAATAAATAAACCCCACTCCTGTCTGATTCACTTCAACTACACTCAATTGATGCCACCTAGATCTTGGTTACAGGGAATGGGACCTGTGTGAGGCGGCAAACGGGCTTTAAAGTGGGTGCAAATATGACAGGGACAAGACCAAGCCACGGCAGTAGACTGCTGTGCCCTTGCTATGTGCATTCCTAGACATGCAAATGGATTTTTGGTGATTTCAGTGCTCTGTGGACATGCAGCCAGAGCTGTGCATGGTGCTGCACATCTCTGACCCATTACTGTTGACCTCCACCTGTTCCCAATGCCCTCACTGCTCCCTGGGTGCCTTCAGCATGGTGGGATAGGAATGGGCTTCCATGGCCTTGGGACAAGCTCAGCCTCTCAAGGGGCTGTTCCTTACTCGTTTACAGCATCAGTCCCATGGGACACCACACAGGCACCTGTTTTGGGACTGGTGACATGTGGCAGAGACATTTCTGGAGCCCCCTTAGTCCTGAACTTCACCTTTGGGCTGCTCTTTCCAGCTCAGTCCACCTGGCCCTTCTTCACCCAGCACCCCAGGGTGCCTTGTATGACATTGGATGGCTGTTTCCTGACACTTTTCCTGGGGCCAGCATGGGGAGGAGAGTGCTAACAGCCCAGAGCTGGTCTCTTCTGGGGCTCGTGACCCCCATCCTAGCTCCATGCCAGGGAATGCAAGTCTTTGGGCCTGGGCTGGATGGGAGAGACCATGTGGTGGTACAGAGTGGGAGGCCACTGCCCCCCAGGACCACTCTGAGTCCTGGCTCTTTGCCACCTAATAGCTTTCTCCATGGAATGAGCTGATCCAGGTGGCCTGAAATGGCTCAGCCTTTCCCAGGCAGCAAGGGTAATTCCAGGCTGAAAACTCACTCTTTGACAAAGCACTTGTTGGCTGAAGGCAGCATCCCAGAACCCCAGGCACAGCCTTCCCGCCTGGCCCGAGACTCCAAATTCTGCCTCTGCCCCTGGGTCCACTCCCTCCCATCCCAGCAGTGAGAGGAACCCCTGGATGGCACAGGGAGCTGTCCTGTCCCCCCAGCCCTGTGCTGGCTGCCATGGGAGTGTTCCCAGGGGTACTCACTGGAAGGGATGGCGAAGGGGGGCATGGAGGCTTGTGGGGGACCCCAGCCCTTCATGTTGTAGGCAGACACGCGGACGTGGTACGCCGTGCCCTGCAAGGAGAGCAGCACACTCAGCATGACACCACCTCTTCCAGCTTGGCGGGTGAGGCAAGGAGGATTCCCCCAGCCCACTGCTCCAGTACACCACGAGAGCACTCAGCTAGGAGCCCACAGCCTGGGTCACTGGCTCTCACCTCCCCTCCTGTACAAAGTCCTTGTTGTGAGGCACTAGAGAATCCCCGTGGCCCTGCTGGGTGGGTTTGGGGCACACAGAGGAAGGACTGGACATTGCAAATGCCCCTTGCCAAAGCTGCCCCAGCCTAAAAGACTCAGTGATTGTGTGGACTGGGGTGCTGGCGATCCCCTGGGACATATAAGGTTCCAGCCCCTGGAGACAGGGATCTGGCCCAGCACTGTCAAAGGCTTGTAGCACAGTGACAGTGATTAAAGTCTCTGATCAAAGCCCAGTCAAGCTGACAGATGTTGCCAGGCCTCCAGGCACTCATGAAGGCAACAGGACCTATGGAGCAGCTCTGAGAGCGTGATTGATGGGCTTGGAGCAGTTCCTTGCAGCGATGCTGCTCCAGGCACCGCCTGAGTCCCTCCCACCACACTGAGGGCAGCTCCCACCCCGACAGCACTCCTGGGCTTGGAACTGCTGCTGGGCCTAAGCCCCTCTCACCTCACCAAGGGGGTCCTCTGCTCCTCAAATCAGTGCTCCCTGCCTGCCTACCCCTGCTAAGGGTGACCCCATTTATCCCAGCATCTGCCTGTGCCCCCATCCTGAGCTCCATCCCACCGCAGTCCCTGTGTCCCTGGTGCCGGCCCAGACATGGCTCTTATGGTTCTCAGGGAGATAAAACAGCAAGGGTCCACGGTCCCACCAGCCATGACCTTGCCGAGCTCCCAAAGATGAAGATGGAGCTGGTTCCTCCTTCGGTGGCATCAGGGCTGGGGCGAGGGGTTGGACTGTGCAGGTGGCAGAGGACTGAGCCACTGATTTACTGCCCAGGAAGAGCCTGGGTGGAGACAGGAGTGGGGAGGGGGACGGAGGACAAATCAGGCATGGGGTGAATGGGCCTGTTGTGCCTGTCACTGCCGAGTCCCTGGCACCCTGTCAGGGAGCTTCCCCACTGTCAGTGGCTCCAGCCATGGGCGGACAAACAGATGCTTCTCCCAGCCCCACACTCTTGGCTCTGCCCAGGCTCTGCCCATGGCATACAGCATGGCACAATCCTCTTGTTCCTGCTCAGAACGATCATAGAAACAAAGAATCATTAAGGCTGGAAAAGGTGTCTAGGATCACTGAGTCCAACCATTGCCAAGGCCATCACTAAACCATGTCCCAAACTACCAAATACAAGTCTTTGGAACATTTCCAGGGATAATGACTCCACCACTGCCCTGGGCAGCCTGATCCCCTCCTCATGTGCTGCAGTATGGCCTGTGGCTTTTCCCAGCTGTGGGCTCTCCCTGCTGAGCCCTGCCTGCTGTGGGCACCCCGGCACTCACGGACACCAGCCCCTGGATGGTGAAGTGCAGGTCCTTCAGCTTGTCGATCACGGCTTCTCCCAGCAGTGGTGAGAAGGTGGGGGAGCAGCTCCACTCCACTGCAAGCAGAAAGACCCCAAGGTGCATGAGGCCCTGGAGTGGGGACAGGCCACCAGGGCTGGGGCAGCATGTCACAGACAGCAGCTGCAGGGGGATGGCAGACAGCACAGGAGATGGAGGCAGCGGAGTGCAGGCATGGAAAAGGTGATTCATAGTGGGGAGAAGGTCATGAAGAGGTCATGGGGAGCTGCTGTCGTCACCAAGCCACATAAGATGGGGTCAGCACCTTTAATTGGTGGGTCAGAAGTGGGGGATGGAATAAATTATTCCAGAAGCCAAAAAGATATAGTTTAAGTGGGTGAGGTGTGCATAACAATGAAGTATTCCCAGTGTGCAGGATGAGGGGGGCAGTCGACAAGTGACGCTCCGAATTTTCCCTTGGTGCAGGATGATGTTTGGTCTAGCTCAGAGCATTTGGATGGTGGCTAGGCTGTCCAGCAGCCATGGCTTCCCCTGTCCTTCAGTATAAAAGTGGCCTCACTGGGGCTTGGCAGCACTGCCCATGGCTCTGTTGTGTTGACATGGGGTGCAAGGCACCTGCTGTGGCTGTGTGACCCTGCCCTGCTGCAGGGATCGTCATCCTTACCTTTGTACTTGGTGACAACAGCTGAGTTGACGCTCAGGGGCTCCCAGAAGGTCACCTGCAATGAGGAGCTGCTGGCCACAGAGAGGTGGACGCTGCTGGGGGCATCTGGCACTCCTGGGGACAGAGAGTGCAGGGACTGCTACAGCAATGACGGTCACTCTGAACCTCTCCGTGTCCCTCTTGGGCCTCTCTCCGGTCCCAGGGGCATGTTCCCTGATGGAACATATTCTCCCCTCCATGCACCCACACTGCAAGTTCTGGCCACAGGGTGCAGGCGATGGGTGCTGGTGCCCCGCACAGCCCCACTCCTTCCCCTGGAGCAGGGACAGCCCCCCAGCCCTCCGGTGGTCACTCACGGGCATGCTCAAACCCTGCCTTCATGCGCTTGTAAAGCCGGAATCGCCACTCCCAGGCCTTGAGCTGCTTCTCCTTCTCGGAGCAGTCAGCATTGGGCGCCTCGTTCACCACCTGTGCCATCAGCTCGTTGACACGTTGCTCCGCTTCCCGAACCAGCGTGGAGAGGTGCAGTGAGCGGCTTTCCAGGCTCACAACTGTGGGAAGGTGCACACAGCCACGGGCCCAGGAGGAAAGGGAGGAGAAGGTGGTTAGGGCAGGCTCTGCCACTGCTGGCAATGAATCCCCACCCTGAGACCCCATCCTCCTCTCCGTGTCCTGGTCCTGGGGTCTGCCTGAGTGTGCGGTTCCCCTCGAGCCCTGCTGCAGCCTGCATCTGTCTCCCAGAGCCCAGTGATCACCGCCCCACCTGCATCCAATGCCTGGGGTGCTCCACTGCATCATGCTGGAGACACAGGCGATGGGCACAGCACGACTCCTGTCCCAACTTACAGTGTGGACTCTCCTTCGCTCCCGCCTGCAGCAGGGCCCTGGCGATGGGAGCGTTGTTGGTCATGATGGCGATGTCCAGGGGCAGGAGCCCCTCGCTGTTGGGAGTGTTGAGGTCCAGCTCCTCAGGGCTGTAGTGTTTCAGCATCTCCTGCACCCTGTCAAGATCCTGCAGTTCCACAGCCTCAAAGAGTGCAGCATTGCTCTGGAACTGGGTGAAAGGAGAAATGCAGCTGGGCTGAGCATGGGGCACCCTCCTCCATCCCACCACATACCCTGGACCCTCACTAGCACCCCATGAACCCAATTAGGGAGAGGGTGCCCTCATTCCAGGGGCTTAGGAGCATCAGCTCTTTGCAGACAAATCTGGATGATGCCAAGCAAACACCTGGACCATCTCCAACTGAACTTCCTACAGCTTCACTTAACACAATCTTGTGCTCCCACCCAGGTTCCAGCACCACCCACACAGGGACCCTCTGTCCCCATCTGGATGGAGCCAGAAGTCACTGACCAGGTAGGACTTGCGGAGCTTCTCCTTCTCGCCCCGTCCCACCAGGCTGCCCTCGTCGAAGGAGGTGTAGTTGACACGGAATTTCCCGGACAGGTTTCGATAGAGCCTCTTGGCTGCATTTGGTGAGGAAGGGCCTGGTGGCTTCCTGGCCTGTGCCAGCTGCAGGTCCCGCATCTGCTGCGTCATTTTAGGGGAGGATGACCTGGGAAAAAGCCAGGAGGGAAATGAGGCATGGAGGATGTGCCAGAAAGGCAGAGGCACATCTGTATTGTCAGGACCAAGACAGGAATCAGAGAGCCAGAGCACTCCCAAGCAGTACCAATGTGAGTGGCTGCAAGGTGAATGCCAGTGACAGCAATGCTCTCACCCATCTGTTTTCAGCTGTGGCAGATCTATTCCTCCTCCTCACCACTGCTGCTGGCCCTGCAGGGGTGCCAAGGGGCTCCTATGATCCCTGCAGGTAAGAGATTTCCTTCCAGACACAAGCTGGGATGTCCAAAGCAACCTCAGGCTGCTCAGCTCTACAACTGGTCTGGATGCATCCCACAAGGGCAATGTCTCCACACACCCAGTCTCCACCATCCAGCTCCTACAGAGATGGGCTTCCCCATCCAGGGATGCCCAGTCCCCTCAGCAGCGGAGGCTGCAGGGCCCGGCAGCCCCCAGACTTGTGCTGGGTGATTGGTGTCTGTCACCATTGGCCTGGGATAGCCTCCTGTACCCTCTCCACACCCACCCTTCTACAAGAACCCGTGTCTTGCACTTCCCACCATCCCTCAGCCCTTTCTGGTACATGGCTTTTCTCAGAGTTGTTATTCCAGCAAAGGGCACTCTCTGGAAGTGGGAGCAGGGAACATTAAGGGCCATTTCTAAGGGCATCCAGACAATGCCAGGTCCTGACAGGGACCAGTGACCCCAGTCTTCCGCTCACCAAGAGATCCAGCCTTCACAGCTGCTCCTTACCTTTTCCATCCATTAACCTACAAAATCTTTTCTCCTCTCTGACTATAGAATCACAGACTGGTGTGGGTTGGAAGAGAACTTGAAGACCTGCCACTGGGACATGATTTTCGTTCTTATTTTCAAGATCTACCAGTCACAAGGAATGCTAGAGTCTTTTCTGGGGACCTCCAGAGTGGGAGCTGTTCCTCTCCCTGCAGTCAGGACCCTCCTGTCTCCATCAAGACCTCATCTCACCAGTCAAAATCCCCTGCTTTGGCATGAGTGCGGCCCTGTTGCTGTGTGGGGCTTTTACCCATGAGTCATCCCCTATGGCATGGAGGGTTTCCACTGCGTCAAACATCTGATCCCCTTCTTGCAGGAGCTCTGGCACAGTTCCCAGAGAAGAGCATCAGGTCTTAGGAGCATTTAGCATTACACTTAACAGAGTTTCTCTCAGCTTTGACCCCATCCCCCGGTGTATATGGTCAGATATTTAGGGGCAAAGTCTTCCTCCTCTTGCTTTATTGGTTAAATATCAAGAGTGATAAAAGCATGGCATTTGGCTGAAGGTCATGCCAGAACACCCCACTGAGGCTGTGCCTGCAGTAAGGATGTTTATAAAGCCATCATCGTGAGACAGGATATTAATAACCCCTTGCTCTGCACTTTGTCGTCCTCATTTCAGATGAGGCACAGGGGGCTGCAGAAGGACTTTAATGATTTTACCTTTTACTACTGTGATATTTAAGAGTGGAAAATGCTGGGAAGGTTGTCTCCTGGCAATCATTCATCTCATCAGTTTCAGACTGTGGAGTTAGAGGTCTCCAGTGTGGCCCAGCCACAGTGTCAAGTTGCTGCCCTGGATTGCTCCAGAAATGGACATTATCTGAACACAGGGCTTCATGGATCAGACACTGAGCACCAGTCACACCAACCAAATGCCCATTTGCAAAAGCAGACAGGTGTTTTGTCACTTCAGGTGGCAAAACACTCCTGAGCAGTAACGTGGGAGTGGGTGAGTTTTGAGCAGCAGAGTCCTACTGGTTCTGATGGGGAGGAAGGGATCAGCACCCAGGAGTGTGTCACTATGGTGGGAGAGATCTGCACAATGCACGGAAGGGCTGAAAAACCAGTCTTACAGTCTCCAGGACCTGCCTGGCTCTGGACACAGTGTCCTCAGCCTGGGCACACCATATGTCATCACGGACAGGGAGCAGCTCACACACAGCACACACAGCCTCTGCAGAGGGCCGGGCACAGAAGTGGAGCAGCAGCACAGCTCTGCTGTCACTGGTGCACAGAGATGAGAGAAAAGCCACCTGTACCTGAGCAGGCAGAGCTGTTCTGGCAGGAGTAGACCGAAAGGCAGGTTCTGATCCTCAGGAGAAGCCTGAGATGCAAAGCACTGCCTGGCGTATTTAGGAAAGAGAACTGACTTGAGAGGTTCTCCAGCAAAATCTTGTCCTTTCTCTTGTATTTAAGAGTTCCCTGCTGCCCAAGTTCTCTCTCCTCTCCACTTCCAGCTGCTGCTCAGAGGTGAAGGTGGCTCTTCCAGCAGGCTCATCAACAAGGTGTGGAAATTCCACTCCAGCTCCCCTTCTTCAAAGGAGGCAACAATGCTGTCCCACACAGAATGCTCTTCCCTCTGTGGAAGCTGGAACAGACCCTGTTGGAACAGATCCCTGCTCCATTCGTGCCTGCAGAATCATGGTTTAAAATGGAGTGGTGCTTTGGAGAGAAAGTAATTTGTTCTGCCAATTAAAATACACAGCAAATGACCCAGTGTAGGCAGACTGCACAGCTGGGAGGAAGCTCTCTCAGAGATGGCAGAAACAGAGGCAGAGAGAAATTTCTCACTGTTTTCCCTCCTCTGATTTGCTTTTAATGAGAAGTAAAGAGATGGAAATTATTCAGTGCTCAGGAGTAAACATCTATGTACATTAAACCAGGTGCCCCCAAGAAAAAAGGGTTTCCTGCCCTGTGGTTATGAATCATCTGGACTCAGTGAAATGATCTTGATTTATCTACAGCTAAACTTTGCCCTAGAGCAACTGATAGCTGAAAACAATGCCTGCAGATGTCCTGACCTCAGGGGCTGACCAGCCAACACCAGCTCACCCATGGCAAAGCCCCATCCTGCAGGGAGGTGTGGAAGGAGATCCCACCTTCTCTGTCTGAAGAGTCTCAGTGCAGCCAAACTAAATTTATCCCAGCCACAATTGGTTCGTGTTGCTAATTATTGTCCTACAGTCTGCAAGCAGACTTTGCCTGCTTTGCCCACCCTAGCAGTTCAGCTCTCTGGCCATGGAGGATGTGTTTGTGACCATCAGGGAGGTGATGTGGACATCGGATTTGCAGTGCCAGAAACCCACACACCATCAAACTCCATCACCCTCTCCACAGAAGAGGCTGAGGTTCTGTGGAAGGATGAGCTGGGGCTGGTCACATCCCTCTGAGGTCAGTTCTGGGCCTCTCATAGAAAGAAAAACCTTGAGGGACTGGAGCGTGTCCAGAGAAGGGAACAGAGCTGGGGAGGGTCAGGAGCACCAGGAGGGGCTGAGGGAGCTGGGAAAGGGGCTCAGCCTGGAGAAGAGGAGACTCGATTGAGAGGGACCTCATGGCTGTGCACAACTCCTGACAGGAGGGGACATCCAGGCTCTGCTCCCAGGGGAAACAGCCTCAGGTTGTGCCAGGAGAGGTTTGGATGGGATATCAGGAAAACTTTTTTCCTGGAAAAAAAAGGAAACGGCACAGCTGCAGAGGGCAGTGGTGGAGTCACCATCCCTTGAGGGGTTTAAGAGTTTTGTAGATGTGGCATTTGGGGACATTGTTTAGTGGTGGCCTTGACAGTGCTGGGTTAATTGTTGGATTTGATGAACTTAAAGATTTTTTCCAACCTTAGTGATTCTAACTATGATTCTGTCTCAGGAAACCAATGCAATAGAGGTGGTTTTCTTTTTTTAAAAAAGCACATGAGGATGGATGATCATAAGGCATTTTCATTTTTTCCCTTCCTCCACCATCGAACACAAACAAATCGACTGGGTAGTTTACAATGTGGTTTATGGATATTCTGAATGTTAAGGTTTGCAACACTGCAGATCCTGGCCTAGTAAAAAGTGTTAATAATTGTTGCAATTCCTTGATTTTAAGTGTGTTTTGTGGAAGGGTGTAGCCCCTCCGAGTCTCCAGCTGAGAAGCAGTCCCTGACAGAGCTGCTGTGCCCCAGGACAGAGCTCAGAGCCCAGGTGGGCTGGACAGCTCTGCCCACTCCGAGCCCAGTGGGTACCTGGCCAGGGAATGACCACCCTGCCCACAGGTCACCAGGCCAGACATAAGGAAGAAACTTTTTATCATGAGGGTGGGGAGGCCCTGGCACAGGGTGCCCAGAGCAGCTGTGGCTGCCCCTGGATCCCTGGCAGTGCCCAAGACCAGGCTGGATGGGGCTTGGAGCAACCTGGGACAGTGGAAGGTGTCCCTGGCCATGGCAGGGGGTGGGATGAGATAAACAGTATTTAAGGTTCCTTCCAACCCAGAGGAGTTCATGAATCTATGATGTGGCTGGTGGGGACCGTGGTGCCATCCCACAGACCAGCCAGCACCAGGAGCCTGGCTATGAACAGCTCATGTGCCAGCAGTGCTGCTGCTGGGGCAGGGACCTTCCAGCCACACCCTGAGCCTCCGGGTCCCTGCGACCCCCAGGCTGGCTGTGGGAAGGAAAAGCTCCCCTGCCTGCCCAAGTGAAGGCTCCAGGCACAGCAGCTGACATGAGCTCAGCTCTACACTCCAGCGCCTGGGGTCAGTGTGGGTGGCTGTCACTCCAGGGAGCTGCTCCACCATTCCCAGCCTGATGCAGCAAACAAGGAAGCAGCAGGGCTCCATGCACAAGAAAAAGGGAGCCTGAAGGAAGGGGCATGAAAGGTGCTGATGGCTTTCAAAGGACAAGGGTTGGTATTGGGACCAGAAGAGGGACTGGGCCCTTGCAGTTTGCTGAAGCCTCACAGTCACTTGGATGTCAGTAGAGCGTTAGCACAAGATGCCAAGGATACTCTCCTGAACCATGCTCCAATTCGGTTCAGAGAGGCAGCCAAGGATGGAACAGGTAAAGGACAGCAGCAGCCTAAAATCCAGTTATCAGGGAGAGACAACCCAATGCAGGGAGCTCACAGCAAGAGGTGACCAGCACCAAGTGTGGGCAGCAGGGAAAGGGAGCAAATCTGCCCCTCTGCCCCACTCAGGCGAGACCCCATCTGCAGAGTT